TCTGCTTATATTTCCACCCTATTATGCTTACTATAGCTTTTGCACATATCCCAAGCTCTTTAATTTGTTTATGATGAAATTTTGTAACTCAAAGTAAAAGATTTTTGTCTTCTCCTTTATTTAACTATAGTATGTTGTTACTCTTATTATAGAGTTTATTCATTTTGTCTATATTCATTTTGTCATTTCCTTCATTTAACTGTAATATAACTTTTGCAAAGATTTACTACCTTGGAAACCCTTTGGGGTCGCTATGAGTCAAAATTGACTCAATGGGAGCAGGTTTGGTTTTTTCTCTCTCTTTTTTTTTGTTTATAGTAACTCCAGCTGGAGTGTAAATATGAAATATTATATTTTATAAAATCAGATTAAATAGGGAAGTCCAATCAATGGTTGTATTTTAAAGAAAATTATATTTTCAATTACAATGAGCTTTACAGTCATTTGGTTTGTCATTTGTTGATTATTTTCTGAACCTAAAATTTTCTTATTTTTTAAAGCAGGGTCTCATTCACAATCCCCAACAATTTTGGAAATATCTCCACAACTTATTAGAAAAGAATTAGAACAAATGGACTTATCTCAATATATACAGTAAGTTTTAATAATCATAACCATGATTCAGACATTTTGTTCATAGAATTTTGAACATTGCTACTAGGCTGTGGCTGAATAACTGGAAATTTGAAATTAAAGGTTTACTGTATCTTCAGTGTATGTTAGAATTTAGAAGTGAATGAATTTATATTTCAAATTTAGCAAGTGTTTCATTAATCAGTCATAAAAGTATTTAAATGTTTTATGTAACTATTTAGTTTATAGTAATTCCTATACCTGCTGCCATTATTTCATTAGATTCTGTTTTCTTAAGAACTATACAATAGGATAGGAGCTCTGGTGGTGTAGTGACTAAAGCATGTGACTGCTAACCAGAAGGCTGGCGGTTCAAACCCACTGGCCACTCCTCGGAAGCAAGACTAGGCAATCTACGTCCTTAGAGATACTGCCTCGCAAGCCCAAGGAGCAGTCACTATGAGTTGGGATCTTCTCGACAGCAGTGAGTTTGGTTTCGTTTTGATCCAATAGGATTATAGAAAGAGAGTTACTCAAGCATATCTATAAATTTGGAAACATCCTAATTATTTAGCTGCATCAATTCAAAAGGAAAACCTACAAAATTTTCTCAGACTTGCCAACACAAGTTCTACACTCACCTTGACAAATAATGTATTCAAATTTATGTATATTTTCTTAAAATACCAGTGACTCAATAACTGGAGCATAAGCCACTGAAAAATAATGATGGGTTCTTAATATTCCTAATGTTTGTTTGACACAGATCACATGCTATTGATATAATTTGAAATCATTTGAGTTTTGAAGTAAATCTCATTTCAGATTCCCAGATGATTCATGTATCTCTTTTGATTGTTTTATAACAAGGAAAACAAGTTCTGACGCTCTCCTACAGACGGAAGAACTGAACCAGCTGAAGGCAGTACAAAAGGCAGAGGAGGTTCATCAGTTCCGACAGTATCGGATGAGAGTCCTTAGCATTAGAGACATTGACCAAGAAGAACGGTTAAGGTTAAAGGATGAAGTCCTGCATATGTATGGGGAAATGAGGGTGAGTCTAACAGTGCACACGTGGATCACAGTTCACAAATTCTTTTGTAATATGTAAAAGAAATCATAGAATCATATGTCATCGTAGACAGAAGTCTGGAAAACATTCATTTCTGCAATTCACACCTTCTGGGGAAAGATGACAAATTGATTGTACATATCTAATTTCACTCATTCTCTAAAATCCCTACAAAATGACAGTATTGGGTATCTTTAAATCACATACAAACCCACAAAGATGGGAAGAATGGCAGAGAACTCAATAGTAAATATATTTAAGAAGTTGGATAAAGACTATACGAACAGACTTGAAGCAGTCAAGTCCTCCACTGGCAGTGGAAAACTCTGAGAATGAGCTCAGTTTGTTCCATAGAATTTTCATAGAATGCTCAAAAGTCTCAGGTATTTTAGAAAGTGAAAGGGAAGGAAAATACAGTAGCCAGGTTTGGTTTAAAGCTATTTTAAAAGCAGTAGAAATCCAGATTTCCTCCATAGCTTTTTTTTTTTTTTTTTAAGTGGGAAACAACAACACAGGATCATTTTTATTCTGGGATATATTGATCTTTGACAAGAGAAGAATGCATTACCTATGAAAAAGAAACTTCAGTTTTATGTTTGGTATGCAGATTTTGCCTTTAAAAAAAAAACTTCATTTTTTATTGCAATCTTAACTTTACAGAAAAATTACACAGAAAGTACAAAGAGTTCCCATAAACCTTCTTTCTTCACTGCACAGTTTTCTCTATTATTAACATCTTGCATTTCTGTAGTATATTTTTTATAATTTATGAACCAATATTGATACATTATTATTAAAGTCATATTTTATGTTAGGGTTCGTTCTTTGTGTTGTATAATTCTATGGCTTTTGACAAACACATAATGTTGTTTATCTACCATTACAATATCTTGAAGAATAGTTCTATTCCCTAAAAATATCCTGTACTCTTCTTATTCATTCCTTCCATCTCTCCTTGTTCCATACCCTAGAAATGACTCATCTTTTTTATTTTCTCTCTGGTATTTTCTAGAATGTCATATGGTTGGAATCATACAGTGTGTAGTCTTTTCAGCCTGTCTTCTTTCAGTTAGCAATATGCAAGTGCAATTCTTCCATGTCTTTTTATAACTCAGTGGTCCTTTTTTTTTGTAACTACTGAATAATACTCCATTGTATGGAGGTACTATAGTTTTTGCTTTGTTTTCAATGTTTGACAGTTATGAATAAAGCTGCTGTAACATGCATGTATAGATTTTTGTGTGAACACAAATTTTCAATTCATTAGAGTAAATACTAGGAGTACAAGTGCTGGATCAAATGGTAAGCTTGTGATTAGCTTTGTAAGAAAATCCCAGACTGTCTTCCAAACTGGCTGTACCATTTTGTATTTCTACCAGCAATGGAGGAGAGTTCTTGTTACTCCACCACTTAGCAGCATTTGTTGTTGTCAGTATTTTTATTTTAGCAATCTTGGTAGATATGTGGAGTCCCTGGTGGTGTAAACAGTAAAACATTCGACTCCAGACAAAAGGTTAGCAACTCAAACCCACTCAGCGGTGCCTTTGAAGATTGGTCTGTCTATCTGCTTCTGAAAGTATACAGCTTTGAAAACTCTATGGAGCACAGTTCTACTGTGACATTCATGGGGTCACCATGAGTCGGAATAAAGACAATAGCAACTAACAGCAACAGATATGTAGTGATATCTTATTGTTTGAATTTGCAGTTACCTAATAACATGTGCCACCACTCATCTGTCAGTTTGTCGTGCTGTGGTCATTTGCATGTTGCTGTGAGGATGGAGCCTATGCCACCAGTATTTCAAATACCAGAAGGTTCACCCGTGGTGGACAGGTTTCAGCAGAGCTTCCAGACTAAGACAGACTCTGAAGAAGGAAGGGCCATCCATTTCTCAAAGAATTGATCAGTGAAAACCTTATGAATAGCAATGAAACACTGTCTGATATATTACTGGAAAATTTTATGAATGGCCCTGAAACATTGTCCAATATAGCACTGGAAGATGAGCCACCAGGTTGGAAGGCACTCAAAATATGACTGAAGAAGAGCTGCCTCCTCAGAGTAGAGTTGACCTTAATGATGTGCATGGATCACACATCATTGT